CCAAATGGTACCAAATTAAATTCGCTTTTATATGCTGATGATTTAATTATTATATCACGATCTAAAATCGGATTGCAGAACTGTCTCAACACATTATCCTCTTTTTGCAACTCTTGGATGTTAGATATAAATTCCAAAAAGACCAAAGTTATGGTCTTTCAAAAACGAGCGAAGAAAAACTCCAATCTAGAATTCCATATAGGTAAAGAAACCATTGATACTGTCCATGAATATACATATTTAGGAACCCGTATCTCCTCAACCGGTAATTTTAATATCTCCCTCGAACACCTGAAGGAGAAGGCTCTTCATGCTCTTTTTAGTTTAAGAAAACAGACAAACTTTAGCAAATTAAAACCTTCTCTTGCTTGCAAAATATTTGAAACGATGATTTCCCCGATATTATCATATAATAGCGAAATTTGGGGTGTATATGTAAAACATGATTTTAAAGCTTGGGACAATACCCCAATTGAAAAAACCCACTTGAAATTTTGCAAGCGTTATCTAGAAATAAGCAATAAAGCTTCAAATGTTGCAAGTAGAAGTGAATTGGGACGGTTCCCACTAATTATTAATATTTATAAAAACATCCTTTATTACATATTGCATCTTCTGCGTAAAAACGAGGATACTGTTGTTAAACAAGCCTTTCGTACTTCGCTAGAACTTCACTGTAATGGTAAAAATAGCTTTTACAATAATCTTATGAAAATATCTGAATATTATGACCTCCCTGATTTTGATCCTAATAATTTAAGTGAAGCTAAGATCAAACACTATATAGATATAATAAAACAAAAATATATTGCATATTGGCAACATACAATCCATCATTCTAAGAAACTACAATTTTACAGCTTATTTAAACATGATTATAAAATTTCAAGTTATCTAGACTTAATTAGAAATTCTGCGAATAGGAAAGATTTAGTGAAAATTCGTATAAGTAGCCACAAACTCATGATTGAAACTGGAAGATATAATCAAACTTCCCGCAACGATAGACTCTGTCCTATTTGTAACTCTGGTATAATTGAAGACGAATTTCATTTTCTCTTCCATTGTCCAAAATACTCAATCCCAAGGGAGAAATTCTACGATCAAATCCAACAAAATTTTGTCGATTTTGATCAGCTATCTTACACAGAATTAATAATTAAATTGATGAATTCACAGAATTTTTCCGTAAATTCACATTTGTTGAAATTTGTCTCATTATGTAATGATTTACGTAATAATTTGTTATCAAGTCATGCTGATGACACTTGATTGACTACAGTCATCATTGCATTATCATTGTTATGATTTGTTTGTTTGTTTGTTTTTTTTTTAATATTAAAGCTTTTGCAATACTGTAACTACATAATTATAGTCATGCAAGTAAAGCTTATGTTGTTGTTGTTGTTGTTACAGGGTGTTATTTTAATTTTTTCATTGCCCTCGAAATATTCGTGTACTACTAAGATTGTTGCTGTGCATACTGTTATTGGGATCAAGCACCTGTTAAGTTTTAAAGAATAGAAAGGAAAGAAAACTAACTACAAAACTAACTACCGACTAATCAGACATTTTTCCCCAGTGAAGTCTCGCCAGCAGATTTGTGTACTGATCATGCGCATTACGTCAAAAACCATAGATCAACGGTCTTGAGAAGAAACAGAAACATGCGGTCGAAGGCAGGACTGTTTCTCACTATTATATTTTGGTAATTCGCAAATTTAGACATAGTTCGCTTTTCAGACAGTGTGTGGCTTTCTTTTTCTGTTAAACAATTTCCCTCTGCAGAGTTTAGAATATGCATAGCTCCGTATAGCTGATAAGAACCGCCGAAGAGTTGGGCTATCGAGCAGTGTTTGGCTGCAAACCTTAGGAAAGTCAAAGTCGCTTCAAGGTACAGAGCTTTCAGTAGTAGTTGTGATTTGTTTATTAGGATCGTTTTGAATTTTAACTTTGGATTCAAGGTGTTGACTGATCGAAATAAACGAAGTGAAATGTTATGAAGTGTTAATTTTTATTCAGTTATATGTAGAGCAGTAAGCTCATATTTATAAAGCGCTCTTGAATATACTTGCTTCCGATAAATTTGACACTTGCTCCAGTAATTTCTATCAGCATCAAGTTATCCTCGCTCGGCGAAAACGATGTAACCTATAAATAAATCGATCGAGAGCGTTGTTGTTGGTTAAGATCTAACACGCTTGCGTTTTACCTTCCCCCGCAATTGCAGTATGGAAAGAAAAACTGACGATATGCAAGAAAAACAAAGATGCATGATATAATTTTTTTCAATTTTTTAAGCGTTTCTGACTTCTTCTGCCGGTTCGCTTCTTGCTTCTAAAAAGTCTAAAAATATTTACTTTGGGAAAAACACTGCAATTATCCGCTGACCACCACGCAGGGTGACGGCTTTGCAAGTTGTGATAACATCGTTTCTCGGTCCCAGACCTCGTCTCCCTCCCCCCCACCCCCACAGGTTTCAACTTTCCGACTTTAATGAGATGCGAAGTAAAGTTACTTGGGGAATGAGATTTTACTTACGCCTTCACACACGCATTTTTGGTTAAGTAAAACTTAGCAGCTCTGAAGTTTTAATTAACAGCCTTGTGTAAAGACAACCATTTGTTTACGCTAGAAACAAAGAAAGTATTAAGGGCTCAGTGGACTGTGTAATTAGAGTCCGAGTAAAAAACCACCTAGTTTTCTACTAGACATGTTAAAAAGACTGATATAGCTTCGATAATGTAGCTTTGATTACATAAACTTCATTCTGAATCTCGAGGCTGTAATCGGATAACTACGAATCGAGGAAAGAGTGAGAGCATTCCATTCCGGCTGTTTTAAATGCATATGATAAGTTGGCCGAGCATGATTTGTTTAACTTTTGACCTAGTTTAAGCTGAATCGATGCATTAGTCAAAGCCAAATCAATTAAGACTAATAATAGAACTCAACTCACTTGCATATCATGGTTAATGATTAGGCTATTGCTGTCTTTAGACTCGAGTGGAGATTCCTTTCGACTAAAGGAGCTTGTCTCATACACGAGTAAGCAAAGAGAAGCCGATTTTGACCTTTTGCAGCTCCATCAATCTTCATCATCGGACTATATTCAACCACCCTCGAACTGTGGGTCCACAACTGCTCTGTCAGTCACATCCGCACTTACTATGTTGAGTGCAATATTTTCAGCGCCCTTTCTCTTTTTTGTGTGCAGTGAAATTTCAACAATTACCTTCGCCCTTTCTCTTCCGAATTTTTATCCATTTGGAGAAGATGTGGGTGACCATGTAAATCCACCAAATGATGACGGCGGTTCCGGCGAAGTGCAGATATCGATCCCGTTCCCATTTTTTGGTGAAGTTCATAATTCGCTATTTGTAAGTAACATAAAATAATGTGCAACGTATTCTACTTTGTCTTTTTTACTGAGTTAACAAGAAAGCACGTATCTCTCTACAAAATTTATATGCCATTTACATTGTGTTGGTTAACTTCCGGGTTTCAGTTGTTTAGCAATTATTGGATTGGGTGTTCATATGATTAGGGTGTAATCCGCTTCGGCCCGAGATCTACAATATTGTTCAGATTAAACGAAAGCCAAATCCAATAACTGTTTAATCCTTCATTCAAAATATTTCATACTTTAAAAACATGTTTTAGCCTCAATCGATGTATAGTTTCCGTAAGGTGTTCCTTGGCAAACTCGAAATACAAAGGCCAGGGTGTTAAGTTTAGCAGATAGTATTCCTCATATAGAACTTTGTCATCCGTTGAACTGTATTTTTGTGGTTCTTGCCATGTTTTTTCTGAAATCGTTCGGCTATTTCTTCTTCCCAAAACCACGGTTATTAGAGGAGACTGGTTATGAAAGGCGGAATACTTCTCAAACTCATTAATAATTCATAAAGAAAATACAAAGAAAATTAATGTTTAATGAGTGTTTGGAAATCGGATGAAAAACTGCTCAGTATTTGCATCCTTAATTTCTCCTTCAAAAATGATTTTGTTTGAGAAGAAATATCAAACATTCGACACAGTGTTTCATCACCAGTTCTCAAACTCATTAATAATTCATAAAGAATATACAAAGAAAATTAATGTTTAATGAGTGTTTGGAAATCGGATGAAAAACTGCTCAGTATTTGCATCCTTAATTTCTCCTTCAAAAATGATTTTGTTTGAGAAGAAATATCAAACATTCGACACAGTGTTTCATCACCAGATGAAACACCTCGAAGTTCGTCAAAAATACTCCGCTGCGCATCGTATTTTCAACTCTCTTCTCGGTGTTTCATCTGGTGATGAAACACTGCGTCTCATGTTTGATATATTACATCAAAGATAAAAAACAACGACTCTGCAGTTTATGTTGGAAGCTCCCTGACGGTGCACAATCCTTTGTTTTTGCTTACAAATTGTGACGGAATTTATAATTAATGCGACATCGTTATTTATAAATAAGATTAAAACGACAGGAATGCTACTGAATGCACTATCAAGTCCACAAAAACATATAACATATTTTAGGATAATTATACAATAATACTACATTCAAAGCCTTTTACAAAGTCTCAACGCTCTTTTTGCAAGTAACCTAAAAAATATATCGAGAGAAAAATAAGTAATAATAACAAAGAAGTCTGACGCGCTTCATAACCATTCCACTCTCTTACTAGTAAATATGGCAAAACGTGTGGAAAAGTTTTGAAATATAAATTTGGAATAATAATTTCATTGTTTAATATTTGTTCAGATTAAGGTATCTAAAAGTGAATGCCAGTTTTTATCTCGCATGGTGAAAACCTTAAAAGGACCAGTTTTCTTCACGCACGGGTTTGGAAGGTCTTAAGTTTTGTTGAGAATTAATAAGTATCACAAATGTATGACGACGTACTGTTGAAACTTACATATTTTATATTAGTTCAAGAATCACAGTGCAAACGTCCTCTTTTGGTAAAAGAAATAAACTGTTTTCTGCTTTTCTTCTTCACAATTAGGTCAATACCAACGGCGTTATTTCGTTTTTAATAAATGTAAACCAGTTCACACCAGAAAGATTTCCCCTTGGTGATGGACGACGGTTGGTGGCGCCATTTTGGGGTGATGCTGATACTCGTACCACAGGAAAGGTTTTCTATCGTGAAACGTCTGATCGCAACCTCCTAATTAAGGCAGCTACTGACATTACATCAATTTATGTTGAATGTAAAGCTTTCAGACCTGCGTGGCTGATGATTGCAACATGGTATGAAGTACCTTTCTATGGCGCTCGAGGGAATTATACAGACAGGGTATGATGAATTATTCAGAGTACGTCTCACATAACAATCTGATATACCACGAGGAAATTGCTGGTGTTCTTTAGTAATAAAACGTGGTCTGGAATTGGTAAACAAACAACCTAAGCTAGAAAGGTCTATTCCTCGCCTTCCGTTAGTAATACAGCTGAAAATCAGTTTTTTTGGCCAAAAAACAGATATGAGTAGCTTTTTTAATGTTTTATCGGTACTAAGCGTTTTTCTCTTGATTGATATTGACAACTTATTTTTTCCTAGGAGGGGACTCTATAAATTTAAAGAGGTAAATTCTGGGGCCAAATCACCCCTCAAATCGGTCATTTAGGCAAAATTTACGCATCTTTTGCATTTATTTTCATTTTGTGACGTCATATTTTGACATTTTGATGTCAAAATATATTCAAATTGGCTTAATATTTTTTACTTTTAGGCCAAATTTGGTAAGGAAAGAGTCAGAGCTAACAAAGTTATTGTAAATTAACCAAACTTGAGACACTTGTGACCGATTTGGGGGTGGTATGGCCCCGGCGTAATCTCAATGTAAACAATTGACATGAAAGACATGAAATGACAGACATGAAAGGGAACCTACTTTAACATGCAAGCAAAATACGTTTAAGCGAAATTCATTTTTGGTGCACAATCACCCCTTCATTTACACAGTTTCAAAATTACTTTCATCGCAATCAAACTTGTATGGCAATACCCCAACACATTTTGTTTTAGCGCTTTGAGTTGAAAAATAGGATTAGAAATGAAATATGCGATAACTTCAGACGCTAGCGCTTAAACTTCATTACAAAAATCAAGAGTTTATTTCTTTCATTTTACAAAGTGGTTGTTTTATCGGAGCCTCCGCGCCCCCGAAGCGCGCACAGCGTAGCACCGTGGGTAATAAAATTTGGTAAACTATCCATCCGAGAAAATTGGGTTATGACGTCACCGTACGGACGCTCCGAGTAGGGGTAAGTGGAAACGAATTCCTCCCCTCTCCCCTAGAGAGTTCTGTCCCCTATTGTTTCAAGATTGACAAATCAGAATCTGTCAACTGACCAAATGCTTGGTGGATTTTAGGGGGTTATGGATGATTTCAGAAAAAATGTCCTGCAGACTGATTTCGAGAGGAAAAAAGCAAGCACATAAATTCCTGGGAAATAAGTAGCCTGCACTGAAAAAAATATCGCTCATGACGCATAATGCTGAAAAAAAAGATCTTACACTGTTATATGTCAGGGAAAAAATTTCTAACTCCAGAGAGGTTTGGGAAAAAATTCTTCCCCAAACTAAATCAGTAAAATCACCCATACCTCACTCCCCCTCAAACGTCCAATGGGTAATGTCAACCATTTAGGGGGTGAGGGAAGAAACGGATTTGACACCTTAGTAAATATCGTCCATCAACAAAATGGCTCGCACGCGTTCATCATGTGGTGGTTTTCAAGACTAAAGCTTTGCATTTCAAGATTGAAAATATGCCGATAAAAGACACAAATGGAAAGAGAAAGTTAAAAAAGATGCTCAGTTTCCTTTTTGTAGACAAACGAAACCTTTTCGCTATTAAATTGTCTTTCGAGGAATTCAACCTTGTTCTACACGGCAGATCGGAGCGCTTGGCTTGTTTTGAACCAACCAAGGCAGCGAGGTTTCTGAAGACACTCGAGGTACATTCCATACTCTTTGATCAAAGAAAAGTACGTTTTTAAAAGGGAATTTTATATTTATAAAAGTTTCATGGACGTCCTCTATATTTTGACATCGGCGTGAAAGAAAAACCGCAAAATGTGCATTTGAAATTGATTTTTTGGCACGTGCTCGACCGATTTAACTTGCGTGAACAAAAAAACGACCATGAGCTTACAGATCGTGAGATTTTTAGAAATGTTTGAATTTAAACTGAAGTGTTGTTTTTGTACTTGTTCCGCATTGAATTGCTATTCATTTTCTCATTCATTACCTGCCATTCAAGAATTTTGCAGTGTGTAGAATTCAAGAATTTCTGCAGTTTGCAGTGTGCAGTGTGCAGGGTGCTGCTCTTTTTCCATAACTTGTGGCCTGAATACAGCTGAATACCGCTTGAATTAAGTTTACTGCGATTGTTTTCAGTTGTTTGTTTACGGCTTTATATTCTCACTGTAAAACTGAGCTTATTTAAAAAATGAAGAAGTTCTCCTCTATTCTAAATCGGACAGACTGGTCGGCTTTTCGAGCCCGAGTTTGTCTTTTTTTTTTTATAAGAAAAAAAGTTGTAAGTTACTGTATTAACGATTATATTTGTAGTGAAAGATTGGATTATAGTTATTAGTAGCGAAAAAGGTTATCTTTTGCTTTCTTATGTCTTCCTCAGAGAAAATATTATACACCTTACGTTAAAATTTTCTTTCAGATATTGTGAGGTATAAATGTAAAGGCTATACACATAACTGTTCGTCCGGGCCCGTTTAAAAAAAAAAGAAAAGAAAAGAAAATACAATGGGCTTGCGGGCAGACAAGTCGGCCTGATTTTCCTTTTAGGTCTTTCCTTAAACACAAAAACACCGACCCTAGAAATCGTAGGGTGGGCCGGAAGTTCTAAGAACGGCTCACAGGATTGGTTTAGATAACAATAGATAGCCCTAACCAAAACAAAACTAACAATGAACCCCAACTCTGAAACAATAGAGCTTCGGGCCAACAAGAACCTATCAAATTAGACGTTCTAAAGAGGTTCTTGCCAACGGAAATCGTAACCTGTAAATTGCTGCTACTTAAGAGACCTACATTTAATTTGTTTGCAGGATGTTTTTTCTTAATCATTTAGCCCCTAAAGATGTGAAGATTTTTTTTTTTTTTTTTTTGGCTTAGAGTTCATGTTATTACTTTAAATTATTTGATTGCTTTTATCATAAGCATAGAAACGGAGGCCTCGCTTTTAGCCCTGGCTAAATCTATATATTATATTTAAGCAATAGACCACTTGCACTAAGAGGTCACGTAACCAATGCTTCCTTTAAATAATGAGTAGGAATCTTGCTGATGCCAAAAATTGACAGAGCACATAAAAATTATCTTACATCCGAAATCTGAGAGGAAACGCATTTAAAGGAGATATTTTATGGCACTTTGTTTTTTCAACAAAGTAGTATGATTTGTATTGGCCGCCATGTTGGAGGGCATACTCTTGCCCTCCAGTTGCCCTGCAATTAGTTTTAGTCTCACTTTAACTGCCAAATTGTGTTGCTGTTAGCTAAGAAGTCTTCTCTTTGCATTTTCTAGTACAACACTTTTCAGGCGGTTCTTGTTACAAACGGAATACATTCTTTTGTGTTATTCAATTATAATGAACTTACGTGGACTACTGGAACCGCAAGTCAGGGAAACAGTTCCGGCTTAGGAGGAATACCAGCTCAGGTGCAAGTATCTCCCTGCCTAATTCACTAGGTGGTTTATTTATAATTAGTTCTCAAACAAATGCGATGCGAATTGCATCAGTTTCAGTAATGAACAGCGAGTCGCGTTCATTATTTTTATCGCCTTCAGAATTTAATTTAATTTAATTACTTTTCTTTTACTTTGTTAAAAGTGGATATTTCTCGGTGTCCCAATAGTCAAACAGATTACGCTTTTTGTAACTTCAATAGGGCCATTTATACGAGGAAAAATAAGACGCGTCTTAGCTAAGTCGCGTCTTATTTTAGACGAAATGTGCCGTTTATACGGAAAGTTCGCGTCTTGTGTAAGACGCGTCTTATTTTTCCTCGTATAAATGGCCCTATTGAAACCATGAAGGATGTGGTGTAGGCGTGAAACGAAACTGAAAAATGTGTTTATTACTATACCAGGAGCACCCAACGACCAAATCTTTCCAAATAACTCAGAAATTTCACTATGTTTGTAGCGGTCTATTTTTTAATTTCGAGATGCCTAAAAACTCTCTCTATCTGTTCGGATGTTTAAGGAGAACTTTGGCTGTCTCGAAAGTTTTAGGGTACTTTTTCTTCTCATCCGAAGTTTTAGTTATCCCGACGGGTCTTGTAGAAACTGTGAGGACGCGAAGCAGTCGTACTTTCGAAAGCCAATACTTAAGGGGACATTTTTTGTTTATACCGAAATTTTCAGGTGAGTTAACTTTTATTGCTCATAATCGCCAAATCTTTGGAAGAAAATGTGAACTTCACTTTGCATAAGGGATGATCCACTTCCGCAAATCGTAAGGAAGTTTGAAACTCCAAATATCTTAGATGAACTGAGCCTTTATCCAGAAATATATATATATGTTTTTTCTTGAGCTATAGAAATTTCTAGAATGAAATTCGTTAAGTGCCCCCACCATACACTTAATCAGTAAAAAGATTCAAAAGCTCCTCGTGACTGTTTTGAGCGCTAGCTCTTCGTCAGGTGACTCCGACAACAGAGCAACAATTGGTCCATAGTGTAGTGTTCTTCCGGTAGTGTTTGAATGCCGTTTTAAGCCTTAGCGTTTAAACGTAAGCAAAAGTTTGAATTGCAACTTCTTTTTCTCTGACAGGCAGGCTACAACGCTGGTGATGGACTGAGATTTTTTAACATCCCTGGGTCTGGTACCCACGAAGTACTTGAACTTCCTTACACGTCCAATATTGAGAGGCCAGGTCGGTGGATGTATCGCGTTGATAGTAAACCAGGAGGATGTGGCAACGGTATAAAGACATTGTTTATTTTATTCTTTAGTAAATTTATTGATCGAATTATCTAGTTTATCCTCACCTACGAAAAGACGTTATTTTTTGTTATGGGTCATGTGATTAACGAAATATACCCACTGAGTCGCTCTTTAAGGCTGTTTTTAAAATTGATAAATTACAGTCATATCTTTCAGTATATGGTGAATTAGGATCAGTCACCACAATGACAGATTCAGTTATTTCGCAGACTAAAGTGAATTTAAGGGAATCACTGGAATTCTGAATTATACCCTGAATATTCTAAATGGAGCAGAAAATACTTCCTATTATGGTCATGGACGGCATATTCATCTGACATTTTCCACTTGACTAGCCCGATGTCGCGTAATCAAAGATTAGTGACAAACAAAAACAATTAATCTTCATATCGCCCTGTTTTCTTTCTAGTATTGGTTCACTGCTACACTTTCACTCTGATCCTAGGCTGCTAAGGGGCATGAACGTTTTCTGCGTCACCTTTTGTTTTGTAAATAAAAAGTGAAAAGAAGCTTTTCAAAAACAATTTTGACCTTGGCAATTTCAATTTCCAATTCCAACCGATGTAGACAAACTCAGACTAAGCACTTGATCACAGTCAAGTCACGTTTTTGTTTCCTTTTGTTGTATGATCAATCTTGACTACAAAGAAAGATAAAATAAATCTTGACTCTTGCTCTTGTTTCAGCCGTCTTGTTACGGCGGACTGGCATGCCAATGGCTATTTTGGTAACTTATTTATTAATATCTTAACATGCGGAAGTGATTTTTAAAGATTTTAATAATGAATAGCGAATTGACCAATCAATTAAGGCTTTCCAATCTGAAAGGCTACAAAAGACATCAACAAATACTATATGACTAGGTTACCAACAAAGCTCGTACAAATACACGCAAGATGTGCTCGAATTTTCCTTCCGAAATAACTAGAAGGATGCGTGCAGTTGGCGCTTTATTCTTTAATCTTGCTTTACTTTTGCTGGTCAAGCAAGCCTCGACACAGTCAGATTGCAATGGGTGTTGCCACAATGAAACCGGTTACCAAGAGATTGACGAGCCTCGACGTAGTATCAATAGCGTTTGGGAATACGGTCAACAGGCACTTTGCGACAGAAGTCTTTCTTGGGGGTGGTATCGCTTCACGAGCTACGTGGGTGGCGAAATGCCAACTTCCAAAGTAGACCGAAATCGCTGTGGTACGTTAGCTCCAGTTTGGTTGAACGGAGATCATCCTGTAAACGGAACTGTTACTCGGAAAGCCTGTGTAAACTTTCACGACGTAAACAATGGTTGCGCTGAATCGTTCGACATAAAAATAACGAATTGCGGATCATATTTCGTCTACTATTTGAGACCAACTTACTCTTGTGCTGTCGCCTACTGCGCTGGTAGGTCTCTTTTGTTAAACTGTTGTTGTAGAAGTAAGAATGCAGTTATGTTGTGGTAAAAGACTTTAAAACAGGCAAAAAATGGTAACGCGCACGCTTCCATCATTCGACACTATCGATGAAGTGTCCTTTTTACTAAGGGTGTTGTTTAGTGTTGTGCCGAAAAAGGTAAGGTATCTTTAAAAAACGCCCTAGTGGTTGTAAGTAAGTAGGCAATCAAGAGAAAACTTGCACAACTTGATCTTAAGGGTTAAAATTTGTGATATTTTCTTACTTTAATGGTCATTCTAATGGAGTACTTTTTGAAACGACCACCCGAAAATTTTTTCAGGGTCTCGCGTAAGTTTCGAGTATTTTCCGTCTAGTTTATGTTTTTATGTTATCTTGGCTGTGCAAGGATATTTGCAGCGCTTCCTGTAGGATCTATGGAATGTTAGAAACGTAAATATTTAATGAAGCATGGCAGCTTCCGCAGCATTCGAAACCCGCGGATAATGGCAATTAGAGCTATAAACAAAATTTTTTACAATTGATTGGAATTGTTTCTTCGTTTCGCCTCAACATTCACTGCATTTATTAAGTATGGGAAGTCAATCCTGGCCTGCTATCGAACTTTTTTTCCCCTTGCAGTGGTGTTTCTGTATGTGCTCTTGTGGTTCTAGCATAATAGAATCTTTAGACGCCTTTATATCTAGCTTTAACTATGATTTCAAACAAGCTTGGAGGCCTTTGGCATATCTCGACTAAAAGTAGCCGGAGACAGATTTCAAATTAGTTTGGAGGATTTTGGTTTCGCAAATAAGAACAATGTAATTTAAATTTAGATTCGCTAATGAAAAACGAAATCCAAGGTGAAATTGGCGTCTTTAGATTACATGTCCGATACTTTAAAGTCGTCCGATTATAAAAATAAAAATCGTGATTTTTCAGGGATAAAAAAACAAAATGCTATGTAAAAGTAAGAAGTTATCAGCCAATAAGGAAATGTGACTGCGCCTTTCTAGAGGTGTTTTTCATAATAAATTTGGACGTTTGTTCACTCCGTTACTTTAAATTCCGCAGCATGAGAAGACCTCGGATTATGGCAACTTTTGTTAAACAAACTTTTTCTCAATCAATTTCAATTGTTCCGGCATCTCGCTTCAACCTTTCCCTCCAAGATTTATTCAGTATGGGAAGTCAATCGTGACCTGCTAATGAACCTTGTTTTCGCTTTCTTGCTGTGGCTCATTCACAAGGCTGCTTTTAGTATGCACTTTCTGATGCTTTTAGGTTAAGAGAATCTTTAGACGTCTTTTATGCTCCACTTCGAGACCTGTGGGACGTGTACGTGATCCTTCCTAGCCCGGTGAACAACTAACTTTTAAACCTTTTTTTTTATTTCCGGGCCTCTCGAGACGAGTAACAAGGCTAAATAAAGCGGCACCAACAAGAGAGTTAAAAGAAAAAGAGACTACGCCAACCGACCTGTTCAACATGTTCAACAAATTCAGCACCCTAGGGACAGATTTTACCTTTTAGAGGAATACGATGAAGAAGATTTTCAATTGCGTTTTGGCCTTTTTCTTTCAACATTCTACAAGAAGAAGTCTGCTGTTAACTTCGATGCAGCAAGTTCTAATTGCTTTTAAATTTTATACAACAGGAACTTTCGAGCAGGTTGTTGGATCTTTGAATTTGCTACATGCACAGTCATTCACAAGGTTTTAAGGGCTATCGCGAAAGAATAAGAACATGTTTTCTGTCTTTCCCTGAGAACTTGACTAATACCAAGAGAGAGTTTTATAAGAAAGTATCATGCAATAAACAATTTTGTGGGGCGTTCGAAAATGACTGTATTCCTGACTAGCTTTCTTTTTCGCGAATAACTTCAACATCAGTAACAGCTTTTCCTCCAGTAGTTCTTGCTTCATGACGTTGAACTACGTTGCAAATCATGTTCTCTCTTGAATTGGAATTTCAGCCGCCTCCAGCTTGCTTGGATTTTGTTCATTTCCCGTTTGATTCCGTTTAGATTTTGAAAATTGACTTTTTTGGTAACGTTTTATTGTCGCTTCCCGCTCCATTTTTTACTTCTGGAAATCTCTTCCCAATTCCGCCATCTTTGCTAAAATTAGTTGTTCGAACTTGTTTAGAGACCACACTGAGTCGCAACTTCCAATAGAGAAATGTGCATACAAATAACCCTACAGACAATGTTTTTCCTTGTGAGACATTGATTAGCCATTGACTGGGAAAACACGGTTTAGTCACGTTTTAATATTGTATTTTAAACATAGTTTAACCGTTGTTCATCGAGACAAAAGGGAATTTAAGCAAAGACTACGGAAGGTTCAGTGCAGTGACAGGAAGTAATTGTTTTTCACCACCATGTCAATGAGTAGGCCTTGGCACATTATTCTTTTATGTTTTGGTATTATGCTAATGCTTAATAATCAAAATTTTTACTTCAGCGGAGCGCGAAGTAAAGGATTCGCGGCGCTCAGGACTGTTCTCTCCAAAGTTGCTTTTTTTGGACGAGGTTGGGCACACAAAGTCTGTACGTTGTCGGTTTTATTTGGCTATTTGACGAAGTGAGAGCCGAATTAGTTCTAGTTATCTTTGAGTTCTTTGATTTATTATTCATTTGGTTTATTATTCTAGGTAGAAAAGCTGACTGCAAAAGTATTTACAGAAAACATTTAAGCAATTTGGGCTAGTTGCTTCAAAATACGAGCGAAAATCGAGATACATCAGCAATTTTCAGTGCGTCTCGCTTCGCAGACGAGTCTGCTTATGTCCTGTTATGCCGCGCAATATGTTTCTCCAAAGTGCGTTTCAGTTTGGCTTTTTCCCGTCGAAACCTTGTCTCGCCCTCCTGAAATCTAGCTTGGAAATCGTTTTACACAGTAGAAAACCCAAATTTATTAGTTTGCCGGTTCAATTCCCCGCTGATGGATCAAAGTTTCAGTTCTGTAAACTTCTGTACTATGGCCCAAAGTAAGCTCATTGCGTTCGCAGGCTATAGCTAGAAAAAAATCGAGATTTTTCGCGACGGACTTCCAAATAGCCTGGCCTCTTGAAAGAACGTAGCTGTCCTGGGTACGAACGATACAATACACATGACTTATTTTTCGACCAATATGAGATGACTGTTGGTCCACGTGACTTGATCAGTAACACACGAAGGAAACTGTCAGAGTGTTTCTTGATCTGTTTGCCTTTTAAGCTCGATTCAAGGTTTCCTCATACTAGCGAAGGCGAGAAAATCAAGTTTTGACGCTAACATAGGTGAACAGTTTTGATCTGTTGTTTTTGTTTGTATGTTTTTTATGGCGCCTTAAATTACTTGGATATATTTCGAATTCAGGCATATGCTATTATAAAGTGCCTTAAGAGAGCAAATTATCGGTGTACACGGCGTACGATTCAACTTTGAGTCACATAAAAACCGAATGTAGCGTTCAAGTTAAATAATCAAGGCTCGAGCCTTTCCCGGTAGCACTGCACTTTATTATTTTTTTATAAGTCATGATTTAGAAAGCTATAAAAAGGAAGCCTATATCCATCGGATTGATTTCATTAGAGAGCTGAGGCAAAATCAAACAGATTCAAGCAACTTTGGAACGAGCAAAACATTACTGACTCTGCCCATGCATGATGCACGCTTTTCTGTCGGATTTTTTTCCGTCGCTACATGACTAAAAATCTTCTTATATTTTATTAGTACAAATGAAATTGAAATTATCCGATTACTGCCAGTATATCTACTTCCTGCAGCTGAAGAAACTAACGCTTGGGTCAACCAACAACTAATTCCAGTCTGTTGTTAACTGATGCGATATAATTGTGCAACGCATATGCTATTAACCTTTTGACAATAAAATGTACATGTATCGTTTGTTTTTTAACATTATGTTAATCATTACTATCATCATCAACTTTTTTTGTTCTTCTTCCCATATCGAACGCACTCTTTAATCTATGATCACTCCTAATAATAATTTTCACAAGAACTGTAACTCTGTGTTTGTTTTTTTTTTCAAAATCCAGCGTCCGAAATAATGCTAAATATGCTTTTCAATACACTTTTAAAAATAAGTCCACACAATAGGCAAAAGAGAAGAAGAAGAAAAGAAAGAACAAAGTAGGGAACTTCACGAAGAGTCTGCAGTGGGTCACCCATTCATTGAAAAAACCGAGTTTCGCGAAGGTTGTTGCGAGATACATATTTCTAGTTTATGTTGCGATGTTGTACATCGTCTTTTATCAACCTCGTCCCTAGGGTCTTCTTAATTTTTAATATGGCGGCGGAAGGAGAGAGAGAGAACATCGTGGCACACAGCAGAATCACGTCACTGATTTGCGCACGGAGAGTGCAAATTTATTTAAAATGGCGGCCAAGTCAAAGTGTGAGAGGACCTGGGTACGAGATCTTGAGACTGGCTTGCTTGCTTAAGTAATGGACATCATGTGCTTCCAGTTATTTGAGCAACTAGAAACAAATCCCACATGCACCAATCCACTGACAGGCAATTTTAAATTTCTGAGAACGGAAAACACTTTATTTTCACAGTGCCTGTGTATTTATGCACCAAAAAATTCAAAACTTCAACATCCCTGACAAATCTTAAGCATTTGACCATCACTTGTGCCTTGGGAGTGGGGAATTTGACCCTGACCTGAGTGGAGTTTAACTTCTTTGTATGGTAATGTGCTGGATAGACGCAACCTTTCTCATAGTGAGGTGGAGGATTTTAAAGGTAAACTGTCACAGCTTTTGCGAGCGAATGGCTTGTTCGACAAATTGTACTATGGCCTATGCAGAAGGTGTATGAAAACAAGAGTGATTAATTTTAGTACTTGAATTTGTTGACAACTTGATTGTTGACCAAATGATATTAAGCTTTTGTTTGACGCAAAATGTCAAATTGTGACGTCACAATTGCTGACGTCAAAATGGATTTAATGCAGTTTTTCATTTCAAAGTCATACTTATATCATCTGCCAAGAGCTTTAGAAG